CACAAGATTTCTGCTTCATCATTCATGAATACAGTCATTCGAGCAAAGCCTAATTGTTGTTTTCATCTTGGGATTTTATTATGTGGATATTCTAAGAATAAATGTGCTTGAAACATGATATTAATGAAAGGAATCATTTTCGGCCCGCTGAATACCTTGCACTAAAGTGGGGCTAGAGGTGTGGTCATGAACAAAGGCGGAGTTTATCCGAGTTAGAGACATGTTTTCATATCGATCATCAGCTAGCATCAACATTTAAGACATTTAAAACAAGTTTAATGGCAAAACTCACTTTCAGATACCATCAAGTGTTTGAATTAACTTACGATTACGAATTCTGATCAACGTATAATATTTGTTTCGTCTCCTCCAAGTGTCTTTGTTTATACCAGACTTCTGCATCTGCATATGCCGTAAATTGTATATACTCTGTGTAAAGCATAAAACTGTTGCTTTGGATGAAACCGTAACAGTACAGTGAGACGGGAGACAGCGCTCAAACTTCCTCAGATCACATGCATCGTGGAGAATTAAAGGGTTAGATCACCCTCATGTCGTTCCAAACCCGTAAGACCTTCGTTCATCTTCGGAACACAAATTCTGATATTTTTGAAGAAATCCGAGAGCTCTCTGACCCTCCATAGACCGCAACACAACTGTAACGTTCCCAAGTCCAGAGACATAGTAAGGACATCAGTAAAACAGTCCATGTGGCATCAGTGGCTCAACTTCAGTTTCGCGAAGCTACGAGAATACTTTTTGAGCACAAAGAAAACAAAAATAACATAATTTATTTAACAATTATTCTCCCCCGAGTTACATCTTCCACCATTTTGGAGAGTTCCCAAGAGCGTAATCTGCGTAATCAGCGTTGTTTAAGTTCGGAGGAGACAGCACGTGCGTGAACGTAATCTGCGTAATCGGTGTTGTTTACGCTTAGGGGAAAGCATGCATATGCGTTGTGATGCTCTCTAAAATGGCGTAAGACATAACTCGGGGGAGAAGAATTGTTAAATAAATTGTTCGTTTTTTTTTATTTGCGCTCAAAAAGTATTCTCGTAGCTTCGCAAAACTGAAGTTGAACCCCTGATGTCACATGGATTATTTTACCGATCTCCTTGCTACGTTTCTGGACTTGGGAACGTTACAGTTGTGTTGCTGTCTATGGAGGGTCTGAGAGCTCTCACATTTCATCAAAAATATCTGAATTTGTGTTCTGAAGATGAACGGAGGTCTTACGGGTTTGGAACGACACGAGGGTGAGTAATTAATGACAGAATTCTCATTTTGGGGTGAACTATCCCTTTAATATAAATGCTCATTTGAGGGTTTATCAGTATTTTTCTGTTGAGTAATATGTCCGCATTTGAACTTAAAAGCCCTAATGGAGTTGTTTTGTGCATTCATGTCGTCACAAATAAACAGAGCAGCTGAGTATGTGTGCTCTCTTTTTTTGTGTGAAATAATGATAAATATCGGTTTGATTTAAGCATATTGACACAAATTAATACATTTCTATTTTTATCGTAAATCATTGGTATATAAAAGTATTGATTCTTAAGTCTTTTCCTTCAGTTTCTGTGCATCGTCCAGTGTGCATGGGCTTCTGTGTGAATCTCCGTGAGAAAGCTGCTTCACTGTAGAGCCGTCCATCTGTTCACCGGCCGTCTGAGCGAGAACGGATAAACTCCCTTCGTTGGTCCTACAGGTTGAGGGCCCAGGGCTGTGAGTGGACACACATCTGCTGCTCTTCTCCCTGTCTGTTGTAGTTATGAGACCGAGTTTGAAGGCAGTATTTGGTGCAAACAGCTGGCATATGTTAGCCTGTTTAATTAAAGGTGAACATCTGATTTCAACAGCTTGTACGAGGTCTGCTTTGACTGTGTGTCATGCACCGCTGCGTAATCATTTTGAGTGCATTCATTACTACGGCTGGTTATGTCTGAATACTGATCTCCGATTCACAAGGTTGCATTTGGGTTTGATTGGATTTACTTGAATGGAACAATGACAGTTTTGATAGGAGAAGAAAGAAAGATATTCTCTGTCAATAGAAATGGTGATGAACTTTCCTTTCTAGTTCATTTTTATGCATGCTTGCTTTGTGGCTCTAGTGCTGCAGAAATGACCATAAGAAGGTTTCTACCATCTGCAAGAAACCCCGTTCTTACTTTAGTAGCTGGCTCAGCAGAAACTTCACACAAGACACCTGCAGGTCCAGGACTGATCTTAACCTTTTCTTTTTTTTTTTTTTTTTAAAGGCATGCATGTATAGATCAGACACAATATCAGACCTTTTAAACTGCCATTTATCAGTGCTTAGTTTTTTCCACCAAAGTTTGAAACCAATGGGATGTCATTGTGGATGGAGCTTCCCAGACCAATGCATTAAAAATCGAGACCAAGCGACTGATGAAATGTTAAATGGATATTACAGTATATGACACATCCCTCCACTTCCACAAAGAGAACCATAAAAAGCGCTGGAGTCATGAGAATATGAGGCATGTGCTCTCAGCCTTACACCCTTCAGCTGGAGAGAGCACATGCGTGGCTTAAATTGCGATCTCTGACACAATTTCACATTCAGTATCTCTGGAAACTTGTCACATCTGTTCTGGTGTTAAGGTTGAAATATAATAAAAAAAGAAAAGAAACGAGTCCTAATAGTTATGCCTTTGTAGACAACTTTGCTAATGCATTTTATTGATGTTTGACAAGCAAAATAAACTTCATCGCAGAAATAGTGTTTTATATCACAACCCATTTTGTTTCTGTCATGTTACAGTTTAAGTGAAACGAGGCATTCAATGAGAAAATTTTTCAGAAACTGAAGAAATGGGTTCGGTTTTATGTTGACTTTAACTGCTGTCCAACAGGATTTATGAAGTATAACACACATATTTGTAAATACTATATATTTCTTAATTTCGGTCGATACGATATAATTCCGATATCGATATGAACACTATTTTAAAAAAGCTTCATAAAAACTGGCAAGAACGCCACAACAGATGTCTGTGCATACAAACTTATGAAAAATGAATTTCCCAACTCTATGAAACCTCCTCCTATAAAACTATATAATATTTTATAAAAAAACAGCACAAATAATTTAATGTTCACCTTTTATTTGTATTTAACCTTCATACAAACAAGAAATGTGAAATCACTGTCAAATAAATCTCAGACTCTCCTTATTAATATTAATATTTTTAACTTCAAATACACTAGCAGTCAAAAGTTTTTCAACAGTAAGATTTTTAATGTTTTTTTAAAGAATTCTCTTCTGCTCACCAAGCCTGCATTTATTTGATCCAAAATACAGCAAAAATAGTAACATTTTGAAATATTTTACTATTTAAAATAACTGTTTTCTATTTTAATATATTTTAAATTGTAATAATATTCTGATTTGCTGCTCAAGAAATATTTATTATTATGTTGAAAACAGCTGAGTAGAATTTTTAAGGTTCTTTTGATTAATAGAAAGTTCAAAAGAACAGCATTTATCTGAAATAGAAATCATTTGTAACATTATAAGTCTTTATCATCACTTTTGATCAGTTTAAAGCATCCTTGCTAAATTAAAGAATTAATTTATCCCCCCCCCCCAACCACCAAAAAATATATATATAAATAAAATAAATATATATGTGTGACCCTGCAGCACAAAAGCAGTCATAAGCAGCACAGGTATATTTGTAGCAATAGCCAACAAT